CTACGCGCGGGCCAGAACTATGGGAGTAGTAGTGCCGGACCCAGCTCTGGTGTTGAAGGGAGTGGACTTGATGACAGAAACCCTCCTTAAGAAGCCTCAACATGCACAGGTTGCGTTTCGGATCTCGACTGCACGAAATCAATTGCACTTGGACCACAGACCGAACATGACAACGGTAGTGGAGTTTATGAGGGTTCTTCAGAGTGAGTGGGAACAGGTAGCGGTATCGGGTGTAGAAGACTCCTCCGCGAAGCCACCGAAGACGGCTAGAGTTGAGGTGGACGCCCAAGCTGAAAAGATTGACAAGTCCAATGACAAGGGAGGCAAGGGCAATGGTAAGGGTCAGGATGGGAAGGGCCCCAAAGGAGGGAGTAAGGATCAAGAGCCAAGCCCCAAACCGAGTGGGGGAAAAGGCTCTAAAGGTATGTGCAGCTTTTATTTGACAGACAAAGGCTGTAGCAAGGGGAGAGATTGCGGGTTCTTCCATGACTTTACATCGGCGAAGGGGCAGGGCCGGTGCTTCACATGTGGGTCGAACCAACACAAGCAGCAGGAGTGCACAAGATCCAAGGGAAAAGGAAAAGGCAAGCCTTTGGGGGAGTCCCCCTCTACTTCAGCGAAGAACTCAGGATCAGCGACGGCTGGTGTCTCGAGCTGTGGAGATGTGAACGCTGGGACTGGCGCTCCAACCCCGGTGAATCCGAAAGATGCCAATGCTCATGGTGCGGGTAAGGGCTCTTCTAGTGTTGCCACGGCTCAAACCCAGGTGCTAGAAGAGGCTCAGAAGCTTCTAAAGTCCTTGAGAATTGCTGCACTGCGGGTTCCAGACAGTAGTTCGGAGAGCAGCGTACAGAGTAGCGAGAGAGAGAGTGAAGAGAACGTCGTAATTCCTCACATTGGTGCTAGGAGGGTTCGCTCTCCTAAGGGCCTTCTCGATGGAGGTGCAACGCATCCACTCAGGACGGCCTCCGTTGAAGAATGGGAACAGGGACAACCGACGAGTGTCTCGATGGCTGTGGGAACTCAGCATCTTCGGATTACTCCTCTAGGAACTATCCTCACCCAGGAGAGAATTATTCCTATATGCCCTCTGGGACAGCTGGTAGATCGACTCGGCTGTAAGGTTGTATGGCAAAAGGGAACATGTAGAATTCTTCATCCTTGTAGGGGACCCATTGACGCGGAATTGGAAGGAAGCTGTCCTGTAGTTGATGAAGCTTTGTGCTTGCAGCTCATTGATGAACTGGAGGAGTATCAGAGCAAGAGGTTGCAACAGGCTCTGAGTCTTAAGGCGTTGAGCCTGGGTGTGACAGCGGATCGGCTTCAGGATGTGACTTGTCCTTGGGGATCTGAGCGGGATCTTTTGACATGGATGAACGTGCACTGTTTTGATTGTCCTGAGACTCTGAAGATGAGAGCGATACCTGAGAGAGGTGAACAGAGTACGGAGGGATTCCACAGGTTTCTTCGGCTCAATCGTAGGCATCGCAAGGCTCTTGAGCGGGCTCGGGCGATTGTGCTAAACCTGTTCTCTGGAGGGACAAAGACTGTGCAGTTTGGGGATATTGGTTCGGGAGTGGTTATTCTCAATGTTGATGTGGTGATGGGGAGGGATCTTCTGAATGATTCGGCCTATGCTTGGCTGGCAGCTTTGTGCGCGTCCGGAAAGGTTTGCGCAGTGCTGTCGAAGCCACCATCGGGGTCCTTTCGGAAAAGGGGATCGAGTCCTCATCAGCTGGGGTCCTGTTGCCTTCGCGGTAGGTCTCAAGAGCTCCGATTTGGTATGCATGAGAACACGCAGCAGGAACAGCTCGAGGTGGAACAACAGTCGCTCCTGGTGCTTAGATCACTTGTGTTGCATCATCTAGCCGATGAAGCCAGGGCTGAGGGATGCATGTTGGCCTTAGAACATCCACAAGACCCCCTTCGAACCGTGCATAGCCCTGACATCCTCACGAGCCCAGCTCCCTCGGTGAAGCTTGAGACGCCGTCGTTGTGGAGCTGGCCAATCTTTGAGAATCGACTGAGACAGCAGGAGAGAAAGTGGATGTTGGCTGAGTTTGAACATGATTACACGGTAGGACCGAACAAGAGGCAATCAGCTATGTTCACGAACAGTTGGTTTCTGTTTCAGGCTTTGCATGGCAGGAAGCAGGGCATTCAGAAAGACTGGTTGAACCATTCGGAGTGCCAGATGTTTCGAGGCTCCAAAATCCTGGAGGGAAGGTGGACTGTTGGATTCACAGCTATCCTCGGAAGTGCGATCAGGGAGTGGATTGCTACAACAAAAGAAGAAAGAAGGGATAAAGAGAGTGATGAGAGAATTGCACTTAAGGCTCTTACCAAGGAAGAGTTGGAGTTTCGCGAACACTGTGAGAAAGACCACATCATCTTCAGAAAAGACTGTAAGGTTTGCCTCCAAGCGGCAATGCGAGGACCAAGACATATCAGACAGAAACACCAACACTCCAACGCTTTGTGTCTCAACATAGATTTGATCGGCCCATGGATCCCTGGGCGGGATCATGTTCTCGGTACCCCTGCTAGGCACATCTTGGTAGCTACCTTGGGTGTGCCAGTCTACAAGGATGGCAAGCCTGTGTTGCTGGAAAAAGAAGAAAGCGAGGGTGAGAGTAGGGAAGACAGAAAAAATCCAGAGCCTGATGAGGGAGCTGGCATAGGCCATGTGGAACTTGACGAAGTTGTCCTCGAGGCAGAAGATCACGAAGAAGAAGATGAGGGAGGAGAAGAGAGCATGTCACCTGAAGAGCTCGAAAGACTGAGGGAGAGACAGGATGAGAGATGGAGGGAAGCGGCAAAAGAGTTGCAGGAACCCGTGAAGATACATAACATTTTATTTGCCGAACCTCTACAGTCCAAGAAAAGCGGGGAAGTTTTGAGAGCTGTGCAAAGAATCTATGCACGCATTGCTTTGCTCAACTTGTCGGTGCGCCGCATCCATTCGGATGGGGGTCGAGAGTTCACAAACAAAGCCTACAAGGCATGGTGCGCATCCAGGGATATCCACGTCACATATAGTCCCCCCTCTGACCCTAGGGCAAACGGTAGGATTGAGGGAGCTGTGGGACAAGTGAAAGCTGGGGTTCGTGCTTTGCTGAGCTTGCGGTCGGATGTGCACAGACGTCATTGGCCTTCGGCCCTCCGCCAATTTGTGGCTCAGCGGTTTGAGCAAAGTATGAGAGAACTTGGCGGACCACCCGCCAAACGCCAACTGGTGCCATTTGGCACCCCTGTGACTGTGCAATCTAGGAATTGGTCACGCAAGACGCCGTATGCTTCGCGAGCTACTTCCGGGATCTCGCTTTGTCCTGCTGCCAATATTTCTGGGTGTACGGTTGTTCTTCTTTCCTAGTGATGACGCTGAGAATGACCAACCACGGTTTCATGTCGCTCCGGTTCTTTATCAAGGAGTTAAGGATGCACTGGAGTTCCAAGCCGAGGAGATACAAGATGAATCACCGCCGCCACCGCCCGGCCATCGGGTTCGAGGCAAACAGCCTGTGCTTGCCCACGCTTGCGTGGGGGGGAGTCGGAGTCAGAAGGCGTTTTTGAGGTTGGTCATGGTAGAAAAGAAGTGAATTTTGCTTAATGCACCACCCAACAGCGTGGACTTCCATGGTTATGAGGTCGCGGCTCCAGTTATTGCACCGCCAAGTAGCGCCACTGATGCTCATGATGCGCGTTTGCGGTCTGCGGGAAAAGCCAATGATGCTGATGATGCGCGTCTCCCGGGTTTCCCGGTTTGGGGTGGTCCAAACCGGGAGGATGTTCATGATGCTCCGGACCCAAACTCTGAAAGCCTGGAGCAAGACTTGCCTCGGGAAAGAAAGGACAGTGGCGAGAGTTTTACTGTTGAACAGAGCGAAGAGAGAGCTGCTGAGCTGCTCAATTCCGGGGGAGAAGTGAAACGAACTGACCTTGATGATCTTCTTGCCAGGTCCCTTACACAGTGGAAGCCCAAAAAGAGAAAGTGTGATGTTGAGTGCGAGAAACATAACACCTTCGGCTGGACCCTTGGAGCATTCGTGTATGGCAACCAAGTAGGAATTACCAATGAGACTAAGAAAAGGCCCCAACTCACCAAACTCCTCAACAAGTACCTTGCGCAAGAGGGAGGGCCTGGAAGATGGGCTGCCATTCGAGTGACCAGTGGATTCATTTCAGGGATACATGTTGATAGAAACCAAAAGGGAACGATGAATCTCTTTGTGCCGGTCAGTAGGTTTCAGTCTGGCAGGATTTGGATTGAAGGTTGTTCGGGTCAAGGGGAGAAGGCGGAGCCTAGGATCCTTGATAAGGTTGAGGTTCAAGGTGAGTGGATTGGAGGGTCTGATGGTGTATGCTGGTTTGACTCGTCGAAGAGACATGCGGTTGAGGAAGCCAAAGGGGTTCGTAGAGTGATGATCGGTTACACCCCTAGACGGCTAGAGGCCCTGTCTGTTGATGAGCTTCAAAGACTTAGAGCATTAGGATTTCCTGTCCTTGAAGGCCCCTCTGTGTCCTTACCTGGTGACTCCGCTTGCACCACTGCAGAACATGATCAGGCAGCGATTGGAGAGTCGTGTCGTGCTGCTTGGTCTTGTCCAGAGCACGTTCTGTCTGCGCTTGAAGGTCCATGCAGTGACCGGTCGACCCACGAAGTTGCGAAGTTGTCGCAGTCAGCATTGCAAGATGAAGCTTGTGAGAATCTCCTTGATGAAGATGAGCTGCTAACCTTGAGACATGAACATGTGATGCTGAGAAGGCTGCTGATTGAAGAACACAAGTGTGTAGGAGAAGAAGTAGCCGCTGCTGCACATGAGGGTTGGCATGCTGACATGATTCCACTGCAGGATCTATATTCGTGGATTGATGCTTGTGAGCAAGGGATCATCTGGCAAGACTCGTGCAACCAACTTAGAAATTCGAGCCTCGGGGAAGCTGAGACGAAGGTTCTTGAGGCGAGGCTTGCCAGGCTTGGGGTTCAGGAGGATTCAGGTATGCCAACGGAAACTACGCTGTATGATGATGAGGGTGATGAAAACATGCATGATGATGGAGTCAAGCCTAATGCATGGGAAGCCGAGCCCGCGCAACCTCTTCAGACTGTTTCGGTTTCTCATCAAGAAGTGCTTCAGAAGATTGAGGAATGGAAGGGCGCGATAGGTGATGAGATTTCCAACGTGTTTGATGTTCACACCGCTATGAAAAGGCGCGATGAGGAGTACCTTCGAACTCTTCGGGAATCTGGAGTTGAGATCGAGATTTTACCGCGCAAGGCTTTGTTCCATAGAAAGGGAGGATCGGGTAGGCATAAATGCAGAGTAGTAGCGTGCGGAAACTTCTCGGCGTCGGCTAGAGAGAAGGGTCGGGATAAGAAGGTTCAGTGCTACGCCGGTGGGGCTGACAGCCTCAGCCTGCGATGCCATTTGAGAGCTGCTGGATACCGAGCTGCTAAGGGGAGATGGAGAACGTCGGGATCAGACGTTCGTACGGCCTTCTTACTAGCGCCACTCAGGCAGCCGGGCAAGGTGACAATCTTGAGGCCACCATCGGTACTGATCCAAGCAGGGTTAGTAGCTCCGGGGGAGCTGTGGGAGGTCACTGGAGCACTGTACGGATTACAAGCTAGTCCGGCAGCCTGGGCCACGTACAGGGATGAGACGCTTCCTACGATTGAGGTTTGCATTAAGGATCAGAAGACGCATTTGAAGCAATCCAAACATGATCCAAACCTGTGGCTTTTGAATTGTCCTCACACTGGCCAGCTCATCGCAGCCCTCACGATTTACGTTGATGATTTGCTATTGTCTGGGACTCCGGAAGCTTCCGAAGCTATTTGGAGTGCTATAAAAGGAAAGTGGAAGATCAGCGAGCCGGAGTATGCTGACGAGGGACAGGGGATCACCTTTTGTGGATTTGAGATCAAGCAAGATGAAGAAGGAATCCACGTTGGACAAAGCAAGTACATTCAGTCGCTGCTCGAAAAGTATCCTGAAATCACTGGAACGGTGACTGCTCCTTACGCCAAGGAGACAGAGCTTGTGTGCAAGCCCCAGGATTCGATCGAGAAACTTCGTCGTGCACAAGGCCTGGTTGGAGAACTTCTTTGGGTAGCAACGAGAACGAGGCCAGACCTGGTCTACGGTGTCAGTCGGATAGGACAGCTCATAACCAGAGATGTGGATCAAGCCATTCAACGTGCTGAAGACATGATTCGGTACTTGAGAACCACAAAGCACCAGGAAGTGTTCTATGGAAATCCTGGTACGGGACATGGTCCTGGAAACCAACTCCCGGTTGAGAGAGATTTCAATCTGATTGAGGTCTTTGCTGACGCCAGCTTCTGTCCGGGAAGTGATCGAAGCCAAACAGGCATTGTGCTGATGTGGGGTAATGCTCCCATTGGATGGATGTCAATGAGGCAACCTTGTGCTAGTCTCAGCACAGCGGAAGCAGAACTGCAATCGTCATTGGATGGGATGACTCTTGCGGAAGGACTGCACCAGACATTTACGGTTGAAAGCCACATGGTTCCTGGAACAGTTGGAACACTCAAGATTCCGGGTATACCATGTGCCGGGCCAATTCATGTTGGGTGACCTCTGTACGAAGTCTCTTGTGGGGACACGCGTCAAGGAACTCCTCAAGATGATGAATGTGAAAAGCCGTGATGAGCCATCAGATGATGGGGGGGAGTCGGCGGCGTCTTTGAAAGCGATACAATCCGTTGAGCTTGAATCCAGTTCTGGATCCTTGAGGTCCGGGGGAGATGGTCGTGTGGCCCAAGCGCTTCGGGCCATCACTGCGGCTTCACTCCTTGAAGCTGTTGCTACGAAGTTGGTGAAGATCAACATTGAGATTGACGAACACGAAAAGAGTCAGCTTGACGAGAACGTGCACCTCTTGAAGTACTTGTGTGCAGTGCTTGTGCTTGTCGGCTTGGTTGCGTTGACGGCTTGGAAGTGTTGTGATCGTGAGTTGAAAGACACCCCTAGGATCCGAGCTGTGAGGGGTCAGACTGATGAAGAACCAGATGAAGACTGGTCAGTGATTCTTGGGTCCGAGCCTGAGGGGTCGGATCGTGAACTGGAGGGTCGGTTTAGTGGTTATGGTTCCAGGTCCTTGGCCAGCCCGGTCCCCTATGACCCTAGAGGTTCCCGAACACCTCACGACGACGAGGGTACTACAGGTAGTGGTTACCAGTCCCTGACCGTCCCGGTCTATAGTGACCCGAAAGGTTCCCGATCACCTGGCGACGATGATGACGACTGCGACGACGGGTTTAGGAATACTTCCGAAGAAGGGTTGCGTAGGAGGGTTGGTTCTAAGTATCCTGCCCCTATAGACCCTAGGTCCCTAGTGATCGATCCTAAAGTGCGAGAAGGGAGCCATGAACGATGTGAACAAGGTGTGATCTCTGGCATGCAAGCCTCTTCTTCAAGTGCTGATGGTACTGCTTTCTTTCTGGCGCGTGACGAACGCGATGAAATCTGCGGTGCTTACGCAAGGCATGTTGATGACGAAGCTGTTCGAGGCACACCTGACATGATACAAGGTATGTTTCAAGATGAGGAGCCTGACACTCAGGCGCAATCGCAGCAGACGGTGAGAAGAGCTGACACACATCGGGACAGGCTGATAGTGCATCCGGATTGGACCTTGAAGGCGCCTCCGATCGTTGATCGTTCGCGTATCCCGAGTTGGGGAGGACCTGAGGCTCTGTTTCATCAGCGGCTTCCGCCACACTTGAAAGCAGACCTATGGTATGTAGACCGTAGGCGTGGAGTCTTGACACGATTCCATGCTGTGCCTCGCCGAAGGCTCTACGTGCCTAGCCAACAGGGAGTACCGGCAGGTGTACTGTGGACCGACTTGACGGGTCGGCGACGTACACTGGCCATATGTGCTCCTGCGAGGGTTGCCTTTAACTTCGAGGATCGTTTCGATGTTCGAGCTCCGAAGCCTGGGAGGAACTTGGAGATGCCGAAGGAGGCTGAATCCTGGACTGGGCGTACTGAGTTCGAGCTTGCAGATGCTCCACTACCAGTGAATGTGGAGTGAAGTTTTGGTGAAGGGAGCTTGATGATTGTGACCTGAAGATCAGCTGAGAGGCTGAAGAGTTGAGAAGCTCAAATTTTGAATGAACACAAAGGCCTTGAGCTGTGAAAATCGAGATTTAACAACCCTTTTGATTGTGTAGGCTACGCCGATTGGAACTCTTTGAAGTGCTCAGCGTAGCTGAGCAGGGGGAGTGCGAAAGCTTTCCTCCGTTCCTGATTGGTGACAGAAGCTTTACTCGTTGAAGGCCTTTTCTGATGCTCGAAAAGAGGTGTCCGACGAGGCACGTCTGCATTGAGGTGTAGCTTAGATTTCGCAACCTATACTATTTGGGGGGGGGGGGGGGTTCTCATTATATGTATAGTATATTGGGCCCCTTAACCCAAAACAATCATTAAGGCCCCTATAGTCCCCAAATGAGGGTTACGACCACCACGAAAACAGCGACGATCGCTGACACTACCATTACTGCTGCTGCTAGAGCTGCTACTACGACGACGACGACCACTACTACTACTACTACTACTACTACTACTACTACTACTACTACTACTACTACTACTACTACTACTACTACTACTACTACTACTACTACTACTACTACTACTACTACTACTACTACTACTACTACTACTACTACTACTACTACTACTACTACTACTACTACTACTACTACTACTACTACTACTACTACTACTACTACTACTACTACTACTACTACTACTACTACTACTACTACTACTACTACTACTACTACTACTACTACTACTACTACTACTACTACTACTACTACTACTACTACTACTACTACTACTACTACTACTACTACTACTACGACTACTACTACTACTACTACTACTACTACTACTACTACTACTACTACTACTACTACTACTACTACTACTACTACTACTACTACTACTACTACTACTACTACTACTACTACTACTACTACTACTACTACTACTACTACTACTACTACTACTACTACTACTACTACTACTACTACTACTACTACTACTACTACTACTGCTCCTGCTCCTGCTCCTGCTCCTGCTCCTGCTCCTGCTCCTGCTCCTGCTCCTGCTCCTGCTCCTGCTGCTACAACAAGTACTGGTACTAGTTAGTACGATTGCAAGTGCTACGGCCGCTACTACTACTGGTGCAGTGGCTTCCACTGCGAATTACCACACCCGCAAGAGCTGTGCTGGTACTGCTACTACGACAACGCGTCCATGTGATTACTGTCATTCGTGATGTTGAACCACATCGGCATCTACACCTGTTGGTAGAATCGTCTGCGCAATGTATCTCTGACTTTAGCAAACTTGCGCATTGCAGGCTTTCCTGACAATATGTAAGGCCTGTGGTGTTTCAATTCTCTGAACCCTAGAGTACCCGGAGAGCCCAATACCCCTTAAATACGGAATATACCTTAAACTATAAGGGGGTTCATATTATGATTTTAAGCTATATTCCCTAATTAAGGGGTAATTATTGGGCTCTCTGAGTAGCCCCCGCTGCCTCGCCTGTAAATCCCAAACTCCGTAACCGAAAACCCCAGGCCTTGAACGCCTTTTTTCATTCTAAAGCCCAAAGGCTCCATGTACCCATATAGTAGGATCTTAGGCCTTAAAGTACCCATATAGGGACCCCTTTAAGGCCTAAGTACCTACTACATGGGTACATGGAGCCTTAGGGAAGCCCCAAACTTGAACCGTAAAGCTGGCAAGCCTGATTCTCAAAGCCAAGGAGGCAGAGAAGAAGACTTCAACACCTGATGAAGGCAAGTCTCTGCTTCGGCTTCAGCCAAAGATTTGGCTGCGTCGGTCTTGAGTCTATAGGGTTTGCAACCATCTACTTAAAGGATCATGGCAGTTAGTAAGTAGGTGATAATTGGGGTTATAAGTCTTTTAAGTGGGGCTATCCTAATTATAACCTACTTATGACCTTACTTGCTAAGTCCCATTAGCCTTTAGGTAGGGGTCCACGAGTGAAATCCTCGAACAGATCATCAAATTCGCGTGGGCCGGAGGATGTGGGATCTGCAGAACGAGGCTCCCGAAACCTTCAATAGTAGGATCCTCCTAATGAGGAGCCGAAACCCTAAGGCTCCATGTGCCCTTACAGTATATACTTAGGCCTGCAAGTACCTATTTGGGGACCCCTTTAAGGCTTAAGTATCTCCTATAAGCCTTTGGGAAAGTAAGGAAGTCCTAAAGGGTTTGGCGTTTGAGGTCGAGGCCATGTTCGGAATAGGATATAGGTTTCAGCTGGCGCCTGAATGTTCAGAATACCTTTGATGCGCTTGATGATATAAGTCCTTACCTTGAGGGTTTACCTTCCCAATCAATGAATCATGCACCGGGGTTGTTCTAGACTTCGCCTCATTAGCTACGTCGACGCCCGATGTTTCGAACAACTGTATTGTAAAACGCCCCTAGACTAGATGCTCCGTAAACGATATCGAGCCAGATAGAGCTTCTAATCCTTGAAATCCTTTTTGGGCTCTAGTTCAGTAGGAATCGGAAAGTTGAACCGTTTACGTCCCTGGCTTATTGGGGTAGTCAGAATCCCATGTGAGGGCTTGTAGTAGCGTTTTGGTGGGTTTACAGTGAAACCCAGAAAGTTGGAACATAAAGTTGGAACATAGATCCTAGGATGGTTAGTACTAGGCTAGGATTCCCTCTACTTTACCTTAGGGGCATACGGATAGCAATGTTCCGACTTTCTGGCTTCTACTATATATGTAGGGGCCTCGTAGTGCCCCAAATGAATGTTGGTGAGTGTGCAGGTCGGATTTGGGTTTCTGAACGGGGATATTGGTAAGGTAAAAAGTCTAAAAGTCTTAGTACCTCCAAAGCTCCTAAACCAGGCTTTTCAGTGGTACACTTTGTTACTTTCAGGTTTCTGGATTCCTATCATAAAATAAGAAGCCTAAAAAAGTAGATACTTTTTCCCAGTGGGTTATTGAACAGCCTGGTAAACCCTAAACTCCTATACTCCTAAACCCTGAACCCTAAACTCCTAAACCCCTAAACCCCCAACGTCTGAGTTTCATTTGGGTCGCGCTGGTTGGCTTGAGGGGTATCTTCGTCGGGAGCAACCCCTCCTGACAAAGAGTCCAAAGTACCAATATCGTAGAATGTAGGGTTTCTATATTAGGAATTAATTACGATTATGATTTGGGGAAGTATTCCCCAGAACTCTAGGGCCTCCCATTCGTACCCCTTGTAAGCCTTAAACCCTCAACCCTAAACCTGAAACCCTCAGCCCTAAGCCCTAAACCCCCAACCCTAAACCCTAAACCCAATGCCCTAAAGCCTAAGCCCCAAAGCCTAAACCCTAAAGCCTAAACCTAAACCCCCTCAACCCTGTACCCTCAACCCTAAACCCTCAGCCCTAAACCCTCAACCCTAAACCCCCTCAACCCTAAATCCTCGACCGTAGCCCTGCCAGGTGCCAGGCCTCCTGAGGTGCCAAAGCCGCCGGCAGAGGAGGCGAAAGAGCCGCCGCCGCCGCCAGCAGCGGAGCCCAAGAAGGCCGCAGCTCTTAGGGTTATGCGGTTTAGGGTATTTAGGGTTTTTAGGGTTTAGGGTATTTTTGTGGTTTCTAGGTTTTGTTAGGGTTTTAGGGTTTAGGGTATTTAGGGTTTGTAGGTTTTATTAGGATTTTTAGGGTTTAGGTTATTTAGGGTTTTTAGGTTTTGTTAGGGTTTTTAGGGTTTAGGGTATTTAGGGTTTCTAGGTTTTATTAGGGTTTTGAGGGTTTAGGTTATGTAGGGATTTTAGGTTTTATTAGGGTTTTTAGGGTTTAGGGTATTTAGGGTTTTTAGGTTTTATTACGGGGTTTTTAGGGTTTAGGGTGCAGGTTCCTTTCCCGAAGGCTCCATGTACCCTTGTAGTAGGTACTTAGGCCTTAAAGGGGTCCGTATATAGGATACTTTAAGGCTTAAGTGCCTACTATATGGGTACATGGAGCCTTAGGGTTAGGGTTCCTTTAAAGGCACCCCGCGCGGAAACCCGTAGAGGAGCCCATTTTTGGCTAATGCAATCAGCTCAACGCAGCTGTTGCATTGGAGCATCAAGACTTGACTCTACGGTGTTTCCGAGCCCATTAAAGGAGCCCTTAAAGCGTTTAGGGTTCTCTAAGGGTTTAAGAAAGGCCGCATCGCTGAGGTTCCTTCAAAGAAGGCACCCCTTCTAGAAGCCCTTAAAGGAACCCATAAAAGGAACCCTGACAGGAAAGTTAAAAAAAAACCCTAAGGGCGCTCTGAGGGGCTTTAGGGTCTTTAAGGTTCCGCTAAGGGGTGCTCACAGGTTTCCCAAAAGGTGCAGCAGTTCTTGGAGAACGAGTCGGAAGGAACTGCTGTAGTTGGAGACGAGGAAGAGAACCAGCCACGCCTGTCGAAGAAGAGACACAACTAGTGGACCCTTTCAAGCCGCAAAACGGAGACGCTTTCTCCCTGGAGCTGCTGCAACTAACCCAAATTTTGCGGAGATGTTTGCCCTATGCTTCCAAGGACCTTATAGTTAGGGCCCTAGAGCCCTTAAGGACCCAATAATAAGGTCCCTGGAAGCCTAGGGTTGATCTTGCCTTCAAGAGCTTCAAAGAGAGCATCGGAGCGCAGGACCCCCCAAAAACCCTACCTTAAACTACCAAACCCTACTTTTTTTGTAGGTTCTTATTATAAACCCTAATATGGGATTTATGGGGACCCTACAAAAAAGTAGGTTTTGGTAGGTTAAGGTATATAAACAGAGACGCTAAACCCTATAGCGTAGTCTGTTTTTAATTTAGGATCTATAGGGTTTAGGGAGGTTGAAAGTTTTAGGGTAAGGAGTAAGCTACGTACATCGTCACTGAAGAGATTAGTTCTCTTAACCGTTTAGTGCCTGGGGTCTTGCGGTTTACTCTGCAGAGGCTTAAGAATGGCATCCCTTTGTTTAGATAGTGTTTGTGATGGTTTAAAGTTACAGTAGATTCCAGCGCCCTGCTCTAAA